GTCAGGATTTAGAGTCCATCATAGTACAGAAACCGCATTGGTGAAAGTCACCAATGATCTTCTCCTAGCCTCGGACAAAGGACTTGTCTCCATACTTGTCCTCTTAGATCTCAGTGCTGCTTTTGACACCATTGATCACAGCATCTTACTGCAGAGACTTGAACATGTTATTGGGATTAAAGGAACTGCGCTAAGTTGGTTCAAATCTTATTTATCAGAAAGATTTCAATTTGTTCATGTTAATGACTAATGTTCCACACAAACTGAAGTTAGTCACGGCGTTCCACAGGGCTCTGTGTTAGGTCCAATTCTCTTCACTTTATACATGCTCCCTTTAGGCAATATTATCAGGAAGCACAACATAAATTTCCATTTCTATGCAGATGATACTCAGTTATATTTATCTATGAAGCCAAATGAATCAGGTCAGCTGGTCAAACTTCAAGCATGTCTTAAAGACATAAAGGCCTGGATGACCTGCAACTTCTTACTTCTAAACTCTGACAAAACTGAAGTTATTGTGCTTGGGCCTGAACACCTTAGAAATCTGCTGTCTAATCATATAGTTACTTTAGATGACATAGCTCTTGCCTCCAGTACTACTGTGAGGAACCTTGGAGTCATCTTTGATCAGAATATGTCCTTTAAATCACACATAAACCAAGTCTATTGCAAAAATCAGGAGCATCCTGTCTCGAAGTGATGCTGAAAAACTGGTCCATGCATTTGTTACTTCCAGGCTGGACTACTGTAACTCTTTACTATCAGGATGTCCCAATAGTTCCCTAAAAAGCCTCCAGTTAATCCAAAATGCTGCAGCCAGAGTACTGACAGGAACTAGCAAGAGAGATCATATCTCTCCCATATTAGCTTCTCTCCACTGGCTCCCTGTAAAATTCCGAATAGAATTTAAAATCCTTCTCCTAACATACAAAGCCCTTAATGACAAGGCTCCATCGTATCTTAAAGACCTCGTAGAGCCTTATCATCCTAACAGAGCACTTTGCTCTCAGAGTGCAGGTTTACTTGTGGTTCCTAGAGTCCACAGACGTAGAATGGGAGGCAGAGCCTTTAGCTATCAAGCTCCTCTCCTATGGAACCAACTCCCAGTCTCAGTTCGGGAGGCGGACACCCTCTCTACCTTTAAGATTAGACTTAAGACGTTCCTTTTTGATAAAGCTTATAGTTAGGGTGGATCAGGTGACCCCTGAGCCTTCCCTTAGTTATGCTGCTATAGGCCTAGGCTGCTGGGGGCCCCATGATGCTCTGAGTTTCTCTCCCCTCCCCTCTCCTCTCCTTTCTCTCCATGCTTCTGTATGCCACCACTACACATCACTAACTTTGTGTCTCCTCTCTCCCGTAGTGTGTCCTCTCTCTCTCCCTGTACCTTTCTGCAGGTTGCCCTGGCCCTGGAGCTCTATGTTTCTGATAAGCAGTCACCGGCCACATCAACATGACCAGTGTTTGATTGTTTATTGCGTCTTGTTACTTTTCTTCTTTTGTCTCTCCTCTATCCACTCACCCCAACCGGTCGAGGCAGAAGGCCGCCCACCAAGAGCTGGGGTCTGTCGGAGGTTTCTTCTGTTAAAGGGAGTTTTTCCTCCCCACTGTCGCCAAGTGCTTGCTCAAGGGGGATTTGTTGGATTTTCCCTATGTAATAATAGTGATAACAGTAAGGTCTAGACCTTACTTTGTAAAGTGTCCTGAGATGACTTTTGTTTGTTGGCGCCATACAAATAAAATTTGATTTTGATTTGATGTCTTACATATCTTATTTTCAGCCTCAGTTTCTTCGAGGGAAAGGACATTTTAGGTAGTAGCATTGTGAAACAAATATTCTCTGTTTTATGAATCCACAGTAAGTGGGTATTAAGGTTCATTGGGTATTGCACTCTGTGAATGGAGTTCTGTGTGTTGCTCTAATAAAGTACCTTCCATTGGGCAGTGGCCCTTGCGCTCTGCTCCACTCCACGGCAGGAGGAGGGTTACCTTTAGCTTGGCAGTAGAAGTGGGCAGACTCCCCGATTTTCACCGACACATTTTCTGGTTTCAGCACCAACACAGGCTTAGCTGCAGTAGAAGAGCAGAGGAACACAGTACTGTGCTTTACTGGGTGTAGTTTTGTTTGTAGAGGGGGGGAAATCTAAAATTTCATTCAGAAGACAGGCCTACATTCAAGTCTCCTATGTTAAAGCAGTAATGATTTGTTACGGGAACGTTGTCTCACCCAGCACAGACAGCCGAGCCGCTCTGCTCTCTCTCAAACCCACAGTGTTGCTGGCCACACACACGTAAGCACCCGAGTGGTTCTTCTCTGCAGGAGCGATGATAAGCTTCCTGCTCAGCTTCTACAGCACAGAGTGCAAACAGGAGAAAGAAGCACAGGTCACTGAGGGTTACAGCAGAAATGCAACAATGTCATATGTGATGTGTCCTAGGCACTCAATTTAAGACAGGCAGATAAGATTAGATGTACTGTAGATACTACTACTCATTTGTATGCTGAGACTTCAAGTATCAGCTCTGTAGAGGGTACTAAATAACCAGATGTCAAATGTGCCATCCTCCATGGCTCCAGGTCAATAAACTTGGGCCACTTTGAAGTGTGAAAATATTTAATATATCAGAAACCTCATTCAGACTGGACAGATTTCTCTAGGGGAGGTAGGCTGATTTAACAATAACTACTTGATTTTAATCCCATCTGGAGTGTACGGTACATTGTTTTTAAACCCCACCCCAGTAATAATTATAGCTGCAGCTTCCTCATGTTTTTCTGTGAAGTTGCTTTTCCTCCTGGAATTTAAATTCCATCCAGAGCCACATCTTTGTATTTCAAAGTGTATCTCTGATTTTTTTACCCACAGGATGAGATCTTTGTCTTTTTTTATCATCAGCTCAGTGTGCAATTCTACTTTTGAGTCAAAGCTGAGTAAGAGTGAGTATTAGATGCTAAATACATGTAGTCCTGTTTAGGAACACTGGCAATAATCACGTTTTTAGGAAGTGTAAATCACACAGTGTGTAATGTCTCTGTTCAGATGTGACAGAGTTATGATTGAGAGGGAAAATTATTTCTGACTCAAATTCACACACTCACACAGCATCTTTGCCTCTGTCATATCTCTGGGGAGACTTTTGTCTTTGTCCTGCTGACTGTCAATGGCTCTTCCAGACCACATCCTGTATTTACACCATGGTTAAAATGCCATCCAGAGCAGAGCATTACAGACTGAATCCCTGTGAAGTTAATCCAGTGTGAATGTACCTAGCTTTTGTTTAGAGATTAATTATATCTTTAGTGTGACATAAATGTACAGTATGTGTTATAAATGTATGATATTTCAAAATACTAAAAAGTACCAAACTGCAACATAAATTGATGCTTTGATAAAGACTAGTTAGATTTACTTTGCTAATAATAAAGTTTCCATCCAAAAACAAAACAAATTTTAACCAAACTGTCTGGAACTCACTCAAAGAAAATGTGAATAAATGCATGTTTCCATCCACAACCGTTCTGCAAACAGCTGGTGGTAATAATGTTCCAGTCAGGTGCCATTAAACCATCGCAGAAGAAAAGAGCATAATAAAATGCCGTAATTGTAAGGTTGCCAGTCAAACCTCAAACAGTGGGGGAAAAAGAAAAAATGCTCTTAAATATAGCATTTTTCTTAGTTTGTTGTATCATTTTGAGGATACTCCCCTCATCATTCCACACAGATCTGTTCAGGTCTCTTCAGGGGACATCTAAGTCACATGATTCATGTATATCATGATTCATTTGCTAAATCTGTTTCCATTGCAATTTGTTGCATTTTGCTTTTATTGATACTTTTCCACCTTTCCACAGTTTTGCAATGCATCAAGGTTTGTTTTACAAATATCTGGAATTTTCACTCAGGGGTTTTGTGAATGCACATGGAAACCCATCTTATGTCAGTGTTTGCCTTCTGTCAAGTCCTGATTAGATGTCATGGTTTAGCCACTTCTGAATTTATCATAACCTCACCAAACTCTAAAAGAAAACACTATAGCTGCATTCAGACATGGAACATGTACCACTGCTTTTTTCACACACTCTCTCTCTGTATATAAAGTATGCTGCATACAGATGTGAACAAAAACAGCCACAATGCCTGGTGACAAACCTAGCAGGCTAGAGGGACTAGAGCGTTCAATAGTAATAATATGAAGGTAGCAGAGTGTTTTCTGTTCATCACTGATGGATTTTATATTCTATGCTGGCGCTGAGGCCTTAATTAATGACACTCAAGAGCCAAAGGGATGCTCACCTCTGCTTGTCACAGTGGCTCCACTAACACTGTTTTTCACCTATTGCCCCATGTGGGGAAAAATCCTTTTATAGACTCAAGTGACTTGAGAAGAATATGTGACCTAGTAAGACCAATGTCCTGACTGTGACTTTGAAGTCTCTAGGCACTAGAGTCCAACATGTAAAATGACATAACATTTATGTACATAATAAGGTGTACAGTATGTGTGAAAGGGCTTTATAAATTGATGATTGAGGCAGAGGGCTTACAGTGTAATGGTGGTCAGTGCTGTTGATGGGCAGGCCATCCTTCTTCCAGATGATGTTAGGTTCAGGGTGTCCCATTGGGGGGCCACAGTCTAAGACAGCCACCTCCCCCTCTGCCACCTCCACATCACTGGGCTGGACAGTGAAGTCCTCCTGCAACACTGCACCAACACATCAAGAGCCATGAACCTGCTAAACTATCCAGGGAAATATGTGAAGACATTTCTGATTGATCGGCTGCCTAACCATCAGCTGGGTGAAGTGAAAGAAAATAAATCAACTCAGCCTCACACTGACATATATTCAGTCACAGACGCCTCTCCTCGCTCCTCTAATTTGTCTCATTATCCACTATGGTTTGAAGTTAGTGTTGAACTTTAAGTTATAACTGTTAGTTTCTGGCTATTTAACCAACATGGTACAACATGTACATTTCCATCAAAATCATCTCAAAACACTGACACCTGCAAAAACCAGAACAGTCCACTGTCCTGTGCTGCCCTGTTTAGCCTTGTTCTTTCATATCAAATCAATACATCCTTACTGCAAATCTAAAGTAAAAATCCAAATTCTCCTCTGTTAAATTCCTAAAGTTTGCAGATGGTCATAACCCTAACATTATGCAAGATGGTGACGAGTCAGCCTACAGACAGGAGGTTGAACAGCTGGACCTGTGGTGTGGTCGCAACAGTCTGGAGCTGAACACGATCAAAACAGTGGAGAGGAAAGTGGACTTCAGGAAGAACCCCACCTTGCCCCCAGTCACCATACTTGGCAGCACTGTATCAGCAGTAAAGTCCTACAGGTTCCTGGGCTCCACTGTCTCCCAGGACCTGAAGTGGACGTCCAACATCAGGACCATCACCAAGAAGGCACAGCAGAGGATGCACTTCCTGCGCCAGCTCAGGAAGTTCGACCTGCCCCAGGAGCTGCTGATACAGTTCTACAGAGGAATCATCGAGTCTGTTCTCTGCACCTCCATACACTGTCATTTGACACTTGTTATTATAAAAATAGTGACTATAGCAGCGATACGCATTGAAAAATGAGTCTAATTAGAGATGACTTTAGTGAATGTTCCTGTCATTAGTTTATTTTCAAGTTTTCAGTGCACATAAACAGTGTTTCTTGTCCCTGAAGGGAAATACATCCAGAGGTGCAACATGCTCCAGTATAGCGTACCCTCACATGTAACAGTCTTACCTGCAATATACAGGGATGCGTTGCGACTGGTGGCCTTCCCCGCACTGTTCCTGGCCACACAAGTGTAGATACCCTCATGTGACTGACCTCGCCTACCCTCTCCCACACTTAAGAAGAAGAGGCTACCCTCTATTAAAACCATTGGCTGCAACTGCCCAGCTGCCTTTGCTGTCTCCAGGGGGTGGCCGTTGCGCAGCCACTCAATGGTCGGCTTTGGGCTGCCATCTGCCCGGCAGGAGAGTGTTGCAGGACTGCCGATTTTCACCACCACATCAGAGGGGTGGTGAACAATGCGGGGTGGCATCTCATCTGCATGAACTCTGGAACCTGAGAAGGACACGGAAATGTTGTAGGAACTGCAAAAACTGAGTTACATATTCTACGCTGTGCATTTCAGTAAGTTCATATGTCTGTCCCCATGTTTGGCATTGATTCCATTTTTCCCCTTACACTTTGCCCTGATTGCAGAAATATAAGCTCACAAGTTTTGCATTGTATATGAATGAATCCACTCCACCTGGTCACAGTAACTGTCACATCCCTCGAAACACAGGCCGAGGTGGTGGTGTGGCAGCGATCTTTGACTCAAGCCTATTAATCAACCCTAGACCTAAACATAGTTATAACTCATTTGAAAGTCTCACCCTGAGTCTCTCACACCCAAACTGGAAAACTCAAAAGCCTGTTCTGTTTGTTATTGTATACCGTCCACCTGCTCCTTATTCAGAGTTTTTAAGTGAATTCTCAGACTTTCTGTCTGATTTAGTGCTTAGTACAGATAAAATAATCATAGTAGGCGACTTTAATATTCATGTAGATGCTGACAATGACAGCCTCAACAATGCATTCTGTTCATTATTAGACTCAGTTGGCTTCTCTCAAACTGTAAATACAGCTCGCAGCTCCGCTCCCTAAAGCAGGCATCACGAAAAATGGAAAGGAGGTGGCGCTCCACTAAGTCAGCAGAGTTTTTCATAGCCTGGAAAGATAGTTTAATAACATATACGAAAGTCCTTCATAGTGCCAGAACCGCATTTTATTCATCACTGATTGAGGAAAATAAGAACAAAGGATGAGACAAGATCTCATCCTGTGGGTGACACAGCCTCAACAATGCATTCTGTTCATTATTAGACTCAGTTGGCTTCTCTCAAATTGTAAACAAACCCACTCACTGTTTTAATCACACTCTTGATCTTGTTCTGACATATGGCATCGAAACTGAACACTTAATAGTTTTTCCCCATAACCCTCTTCTGTCTGACCATTTTCTAATAACTTTTGATTTTCCATTAATGGATTATACTCTAAGTGGGAAAAAAATCCACTACAGCAGATGTCTATCTGACAATGCTGTTACCAAGTTTAAGGAAATAATTCCATCTTTATCTACTTCAGTGCCGTTTGCCAACACAGTGGAAGGAGGCCACCTTAACTTTACTCCCACACAAGTCGATAATCTTGTTGATAGTACTCCAGCCTCCCTGCGTAATACACTTGATAACGTTGCCCCTCTGAAAAAGAAGGTAGTGAAACAGAGGAGGTTAGCCCTGTGGTACAGCTCGCAGCTCCGCTCCCTAAAGCAGGCATCACGAAAAATGGAAAGGAGGTGGCGCTCCACTAAGTCAGAAGAGTTTTTCATAGCCTGGAAAGATAGTTTAATAACATATAAGAAAGCCCTTCATAGTGCCAGAACAGCATTTTATTCATCACTGATTGAGGAAAATAAGAAAAATAAGAACAACCCCAGGTTTCTTTTCAGCACTGTAGCCAGGCTGACAAAGAGCCACAGTGCTGTTGAGCTTAACATTCCCTTAGATCTTAGACCACTGCCTCTCTTACCACGCGCCACCACCTCAGCGTTCCACTGGCTGTAGAACACCCACAGTAAACAAGTGTAAGTCCTGCTATCAACAAACAGTGTCTATTTGCAGCCAGCAGCAGTGGAATGCCATTGTTTGAACTTCCCGTTGAGTTGGATGGCCACACTGAAGGAAACTGGGAGACTGTGATCAGCTTCCTGACAGGAGAGGAAGCATGAGGGTCACAGGAACATCAACCCACACAAGTAGACTGGAACTCCCCCGTCAACAGCATACCCATAACAGAACAAAAGACGCCTACCAAGATGAATTTCACACCTGACTATTTACTCATATTTGAGAGTAATGACAAATGCTGTATTATATAATCCTAAATCTACCAAGCTAGTTTTGGTTGCAATAGATGGGCAGAGACAACCAACAGAGGGTTTGTATTGTACTGAGTTGGTTGTACTGAATGAATATTCTCTATACTCGGAAATACCCAATTATAGCTAACAATGGGCTGTTTCACCTCATTGTCACATTCCTCTGACATGCAGCAAAAACAGCCAAAACATCGGGGCATCATGGTCAAAATGTATGTAGGGCTTTTTCAGGCTGTAGCGAGGAAGCTCCTCACCCTCCAAACCTCATGGAAATGTTTTCTGAACAATGATGATGTAAAAGAATTCAAAAATGTGTAGGAAAGCTTTCTGACAGACAGGAGAGCAAAACAAAGCAATCCGAATATATCAGCTTGGCCTGTGAGAAACTGTAATTTGTCACAGTTTTCTGACATTTTATGCATCAACCAATTAATCAATGAAATAAAGAAGAAAGAGGAATTAGATTTTAGCCACTGGGGTTTGAGTATGACTGGCTCCACATTCAGGAGACATCATGTAAATGTGTAGCTAACTGTTGTGCTCAAATATATGCAGCAACACCTGCTAACCCCAGTCTCTGCCTTGTAAGTTCACATTTCTGATGTTGGTTAATTCTAACCAAATGCAATATGTGTGCGCTGAATCACAAGTGGATCAAACAGCCACTGCTTTTGGTAGAGGATGTACTTCAGTGCACAGGGCAAAGAGCACGTACTGTGGGTAAACCACTGTTAACTCAGCTCCCATGCTTCAGGTTTAACACAGTGCAGGTGACGTGCTGAGCCAACAGACCTAGTGGCATCACCCAGCGTTCCTCTCTTATAACTAGGACCTTACTGTAAAGCCTAACTCACAATCTTTGGAGACACTTCACAGAAACAGGCTCAACAAGTAACATAACATTTACATTTTGGTATACAACTTTACTTTAAAGGTGTACAAATAACACATAGGCATAGTTTCTTTACATTATTAATTAATAGTTAGCGCATAAATGATTGAGAAACTCAAATGTACTTACCTGAGAGAACAACTCCAAAGACCGGCAACAATAGGCGGATTAAAACACCCCTGGTCATTATTAACAGTGAAGTTAACAGTAGCGTGATACGTTACGACCTAACGTCACCTCAGAGATCATTTTTATTACACTACGTGCGTAGCTAACCCTTTTGGGAACCGTTTAAGCGAATGTCCAGATTTACGGATTAGTTTAAAGCTACAATGTTTTTTTTCATTTAACAGCCAACTTTACTAGAAAAAGAATTTGTTCTATAATCAAAGTCAGCGCCAATGTGATTTGATGTCTGCGGTGTTTGACACACGCAACGACGTCAAGGCAGCGCGGTGATTTGACTTCCTGTCAGGTGAGGTTTCAAAATAAGATCGCTCTTAACAAAACTCCCACCACTTGAACCCACTGTAAACGTGTTTACGATCATAAACTCAGTGATTAGATTTTAACCTAGTATTGTATATGGTTTGTTACACTGCATAACAGTGCTATCCTAACAGAATTTAATTTGAATGCATCACCGCCTGCTTCCGCCATCATTCCAGTTTTTTGTATTGATCTGCTTTATTCAATCTCTGCTTTCAAAATTAATAAAGTCTACATTTATTTTACAGTAATTTTCAGGCTTTCTGGTTCTTGTCAGAAGTCAGTGTAGCATACTTATCAACTGAAGTTCAATAGTGTACATTACTGAGCACAACCAAAGCAAATTACAAAAGTCACATCAATTTCAGACTATCAGCCCCTTTGCAAAAGTGTTAAATAATAATAATAATTATAATTCAGCCTGTCTGTTCAGGCTGAATGATTTATTAAGTCCACAGGGTTTCGACTATCAGCCCCAAAAGCTTTACCAAGGCTTTTTAGATTTTTCAAACTTAACGGAAACATCACTGGGCAGGGTCCATGACAGTATTGGTGGTAATAAGCATCAAGCAACAAACTAACTACTAAACAGAGGATTGGTGGAAAATTCATTATATAGATGATGGATTCAAATAACACTGGCTTTATTTATTTAATCCTATAGTGTTAAGCTCTGAAGGTTCATGTCATCTCTCCCTACATATGTTGATTGTGTTGTTAAAAACACCAGAAATGACCTTAAAATTGGCACACAAAAAAAATCTTATTTCTGTTAGGCATCACCTAGTGACCAAAGCAAACCTATCTGCTTCTTTAACATAAATATGATCAAACTCTGTTAGGAGTGAATGAGCAGAATTCCTATGGCTGGGTCTGCTTTAGTGTAATCAAAGCAAATACATATAGTGGAGATGAACATATTAATTTTTGCTGTCTAAAATTCTGTCTCATCTTGGCAGTTTTGAATGTAATTGTGACTGTTTTGGGGCAGCCGCTCTGTCAGTACTGCTATGAGGCAGGAAGTTCAGAGTCTCTCTATAATCTCAAACAATAGCAGGAAATTATACACTGTATCTCTTACTGATAAATGACAAGGAATTTTAGCTGTTGTTACTAAGCTTGTATTGAGGTTAGGTTGCTGTTAAATGGTTTAATATGCTTTAACTCATCTGAAAGAGTAACAAGTCATTTTTAGCTGGTCTATGACAAACACCAGAAATCTCTGGACTACAAAGAAAATTAAGGATAATCACCTTTATTGGCCAAGTATGTTACACACACAAGGAATTTGTTTTCGGTACAGAACCGAGGCAGCCATCTGCAGCGCCAACTCAACCAATGGCTCTAACCATCAGGGACAACAGGGGGGTTTAGTGTCTTGCCCAAGAACACTCCGACATGTGGACTGCAGGCACCGAGATTCAAACCTCTAACCTTCCGGTTGGGAGACGACTGCTCTTCCCACCACACCACTGCCACCTCCCCAATTATTTGAACTGTGTGGGCTGAAATACTGTCTTGTGTGTGCCAGTTTCAAACAACATATTAATTCAAAGAAACTTTGCCTGTGCCGGAAAAATGAATATTCTCACAAAATACATTTAAAAAGTAAAAGAAAAGAAAAGCAAGTTCAAACTCATCTGAAACATTTTGCTTTCTCTTGCTGACATTTAATTTGTGCAAGTCAAACTTTCATAGATGACTGAAGGTGTACTTATTGTGCATGACTCCTTTTAGTATAAAACAATAAAAACTTCTTGTATGCTAAATGCAAAAACAATTTAACAGTTGATGCACAGCCAAGAAGCTAAGTTCCACTCTATTTATTATGATGTGAATGTATGAAGTATACAAAGTCATGCAATTTAGCTTAAATGTAACTTTAGGAATAATAAAAATGCTCTGGATGCTGAGCTACTTCCAAGTTAGGTCACAGGAAAGGAAGAGCGATCCAGAAATAAGTGAACTACCATTAGTTCATTCCTTCAATGGCTCACATAAATAAAGTATTGTTTAGTGAACTGTTCTTTGTGAGGCTCAGAAAGGCCCAGGGCGAAGTGATGGATGTTTATATTGATCCAACAACTTGGGCTTGATGGCCCCAGCATCAACCAGCTTTCAGTTGCAACAAAAGGCTTAGAGAGGATGAAGGATGAATCCCAGCTAAACACAGCCCATGGGAATGGTGCTAGGCTGAGATGTGCAGAGGGAAGGAACTTCTTTCAGACTGTGGACCAAAGGTCAGGAGAAGTGTTGGAATGGTCAAAGAGGGTGGGATGGAATAGGAAAAAGAGAATGTGTCAGCTATAGTGAGGAATGTGATAAAAAGTAACTTCAGAGTAAATTCTGAGTGTAATTCAACCATGTTTTGTATGAGACTCAACAATCACTGTCAACAGGAATTACTGCCTTTAGCTAGTTTAAACTAGTTTAAAATGCATTCCCTCTTCTGCCATGTTGCACCTCTGTTTCTTAGTGACTCAACTTAGCTGAGAACATTTATATTAAGTTAGTTGTTCTTTCAGACATTGTTCTACTCAATCACATTTGCATTTTCCCAGTTCTGACTAATTTGTTGAATAATCTGTGTAATCATATTATTCTCTGAAGACTAAAATCTTACATGCAGCACTGTCTTGCAGAATTGAATATTGCATTGTCATTATCAAATAAACATGTAGAAGTGAGCAGCTCTGTACTAACTTTATTAAATTTAACACAAAGCATAATTATGATTTCCATACTAGTTTTAAGGAGATGTTTTCTCTACAGGACATTTTGACATTAACAATTTGAATGGGAATTTTTTTACACACAATACATGCTCATCTCTCTCCTCTATGAATGTATTTGCCTTTTCAACTGCTTGAAAATCACTATGAAATATAAATGTGTTCATACGAAGCCCATATAAACATATAAAAGAAGAAACCATTTCCTTAATAACCAGTGGGGAAAGAAGTATTCAGATCCTTTACTTAAGTAAATGCAGTAATACAACAGTGTAAAAATACTCTGTTACAAGTAAAAGTCCTGCATTCAAAATGTTACTTAAGTAAAAGAACAGTAGTATCAGTATCAGACATACTTAAAGTACTAAAAGTAAAGCACTCATTATGCAGAATGGCACATCTCACATTCTTGTATATCATATTATGGGATTATAATTACTGATGCATTATTGTCTACATCACATTTAATGTAAAGGGGGAGCCAGTTTTAACTGGCTTATATGCATTTAATTTGAATTACTGCTAAGTAGCTTGTACATTTTCCACCATAGATCAGTGACATTTTATAATGATAATACATTTTTTGTATGAATCTGGTTATGAAAAGTAAGTAAAGTTATAAAATAGATGTGGTGCAGTAAAAAGTACAATATTTGCCTCTAAAATGTAGTGAAGCCAAAGTATGAAGTAACAGAAAATGAAAATGCTCAAAGTACAGATACCTCAAAATTGTACATAAGTAGAGTACTTGACTAAATGTACTTAGTTACTTTCCACCACTATTAATACCAATTTTTTTTGTTATTAGTCTATTATATTATTGTCATTAAATGTGCAGGCTCAGTTTGTGGCAAAGGGAAAATGTACTATTTTTTAAAATAGTTTTGGCTATAATAAAATCAGAAGCAAATAAATAAATAACATTTTAATTACTATTATAATTTTTACACACATAGCATTGGGGCCTGTGGGTCACCAGTCAATAAGGAAGTAAAGTCAGTGTCAAATAAAACAGAAGGGTTACAACTCGGTTCATTAACAGGTTATTCATATTTTAAAAAAACTCCCCGCATGGTCACATAATTCAGTGGAACAGATCATATCAGAGCATCCCAGATGCATTAGAAGCCTACCATGGTAACAACCTACAGTATAATCCACAGGCCTTGCATTACAGTTCATCAGCTCATCTGCAACTTGTGTGAGTGAATACGGGCTCACCTTTTCTGCGGTGTGGCCTGTTCCTGTAAGGCACGTGTTGGTGGCCAACACTATGATGAACATGATCCCTGACCCGGGTCTTTGACCTGTTGTCCAGTCCTGGCTCGGTTGGACATATGTCTTGGCACTTGCACCTCTGTGAGTATGCTGCCCAGATATAGAACCAGGACGCCCAGTGAAGCCACGCACCGACCTGCATCGTCAGTCCACAAGTCTACACTTCCTGGGATGCAAGCCCCTAACCCTTACCACAGCTCCACTGCACCATCCATATCCTGCTGTGGAGCTCCACAGTTATTCAGCATGTGACCTGTCCTATACACGACTTGTTATTTGGAGAGTAAAATAGAATGTTTTCTTCATATTCCTCAAACATGGCTGAGAACTTCTCTTCCCTCCCTCTTTAATTTGGCTGCTCTTGGTCTTCCCATCTCCCTCCTCTTTGGGTCCTTTTTGTTCTCCCAAGGAGGGAAAAGTTGGGGGGAAAACAATGATCAAAAAACAAGTTTCAGACGTCATGCTGTGCGAATCGTGAGGGGAAGGGGACCAAGGAGTACTGTCTTGTCCAGCAACATGTGTGCCATTCATTCTGCATGGGATGGGGGGAGGGGGGTGAAAAGAGCTTCAGATAAGGGGGAGGCAACAGTAGGAGGCCTGTTTTCCCAAGTCAGATCAGTTTCATTAATTAATATCTGCAAAGTGACAGATCAAATGCGGGAGAACAGTTTTTAAACATCACATATTTAAAACTGTTTTGAACACAGAGAAAACTACGTCCATCACCTGAAAGAAGCAAATTTAAAAAAAGTAACATTTATCAAATTTCAGAAGAGCATTTATTTCTTCCAAGTGCAATTACTTGTTAAATTTTGTTTCAAACATGAATTATCAGACCAGAAAAATTTAACTTTGATAAGCAGTTTAAAAAGACAAAAGGCAAGGTACAAAGGCATCTTTCTTTCTTTCACTGCGTTGCTTTAATGTGACAAGTCAAGCTCCCCCACTCTTACCCAACCTCCCACCAGTCAAATAGCCAAGCAAATTTGTAGCTGCCTGTCTTCACAGTATGAGTCTTATACATCATCTTGGCTTGCCCATAAGAAGCAAACAAAGGTACTAAGTCAACCTTGTCAGAATGTTCAGCTTTAATTGTCAACAGTCATTTTGTCTGGTTTGAGTGAACTCCCAGTGTGCACAGATTACACTTCTCATTTTGTAAACAGAAGAAAATGGAATTCCAAACAAAATACTGTAGAAAGTTTAATTAAGGCTTTGGTTGTTTCTCTGTTTTTCACCAATTAGGCCTTCAATTTCAAAAGAATTGGCAACTGAATAAAGGTTCACTTGGTTAACTTTTTCTAATTATTTCATATAAGCATGATCATGAGTGACCTGCATTCAATAATCTTTCAGTTTAACAACATTCTTTTTGCAGTCAAAGCACAAATTTAAGAAAGTTTATAACTAAAAACCATCTCATAATAAGGAATTTCCCCACCCACAGCCTACAATAGATAGATAGATAAAAACTTTATTGCAGACTCAAGGTCCAGACTCCGAACAACAACAAAAAAACAAAAAACAATAAAAAACAACAATAAAAAAAAGATTAAAAAAATTAAAAAACCACCACAAAACAACAACCAGTCCACTACTATTCCTTTAAGAGGCAAGTATACCAGTGTCTCCAGAGTACTGATGTATATCACATGTCACTATATGCAGCCTTAGTCAACAATAAAACAATATGATTTTCCGAGCTATTCAAGTGACAGATAAATTTATACATCAGGTTTCTTAAAACAGCTGATAAAGTACTAACTCGTAGTGACACAAATAATTCACTGGCACTCACCCATCTAGGCCTTTTCAGTAATAGTCTCAAGACATCATTATAAGCCACAGTCAATTTCCGAAGACTGCCTTTTTTATAATTAGACCATAGGTGGGCAGTGTACAAAGAGGAACAATATGCTCTAAATAGAGTCAATTTTACCCTATACATTTGCTTGCACATACAACACACGGCACTGCCGATACATATCCCCATCATCGGTCAAACAATCATTTATAACATGACCCAGATACTGAACTTCATTGCGTACGGTTAAATATTACCAGATAGCTTAAAAAAAGGAAATACAAGGGACTTGTCCTCTTTTGAGCGGCATATCATAATAACACTTTTAACAGCATTATACTTAACATCATAAAGTTCTCTAAATACAGAACACACATTCAAGAGCTGCTGAAGACCTTCTACTGATGGATTCTGCATCAGTTGGATCTCATTAAGATGCGTGAAGAAAGGATTTGCTCTGTTCTTTCAGAAAACCCACAGGATCCACAGTATAGTCCAGATTCTTCAAGAGCTTTGTCGTGTTCCTATTCTTCCTCCTACTCTTTCTCCTCAGCCTGTTGGTTTAGCTCGTTAGCAGTAGCTCGGATGGCATTCTAAGTGTTATCCCAATTGACAAGCATAGACTGGCAGG